TCCCCATTGATGGATGGGGATGAATTAACTTCCTCCTTGCTATGACAGTCTTGGAGTTGAAACCAGCACGAGCAGCTAGGCCCCACTGTTAAGCATTCACCTAAAATGTGCATGCCAGGCCTGAAGGGCACCTCAAGTTCCCCCAGGCACAAAGCACTGATAGGTCCCTGAAGGATGCCCTCCACCCAATAATGCCTCAATATTTTCTCACCCACTTCCTTACCTGCCAATACTCAATGCCCCCATGGACCACCAACCAGGTGCTTGTGGGGAATGAGGTTAAAGCTTCTTCCCTGGTGGTTCAGCTGTTTCTGTTTCTGAATGCATGCTATCAAGGGAGACTTGGGTATGTGGCACTGATGCTTTTCCTCAGCAAATTGCAGTTTTCTGATTTATTACAGAGTGCTTTAGACACCATTCTGTGTCTTTGTAACAATTATCACTTAAGGTACAATTATGATTCATTCTGAAAAGCCATGTGTACAATTTGCTTTGATGTGCTTGAATGGAAAACCTCCATTCAAAATGCTAAGAGCCCTGTTTTTCACATTTCACTTCCCTAGGTTTTAACAACTGAGGTACTGCAGGATATGTACTGTATATGATTTTTATTTTTGTAATGAGGGGAGTGCTGTACAATACAGAAAATAAAGACAGCTGTGTTGGGTCATTAAAAAATATATCAAAATCTACATTAGGGTTGTACCTTTAATATGTCAACCCAAATATTACAAAAGAGTGTGCAGTCTTTCAGGTTTTCTGGAATCAGGCTAGATGTCAAACAGAACAAGTGAGGGGAGAGAAGTTGGCTGATGGTGAAGCCATGAAGCTTGCATCTAGCCAGCCTTGAGAGAGACTGGGAAGAGGTAGTAGATATTGAAAGGAAGCTCTACAAGGTGCTATGCAGGTTTCAGGTCACACTTAAGACTGTTGGGAGGAATAAACACACAATAGGCAAGACTTTTTTCAGCCAGAACTCACTGGAACTCAGTTCTGGCACCTCTCAGGTGGGTGCCATTGCCATGATAAGAGAACAAGGTGTTTGTGGTGAGTTCTGGCACCTCTTTTTCTGGAAAAGTAGTATTGACAATGGGTGATAACCATTTAACATATAAAATCCAGCCAAGAATTTCAATAGGTGGTATTACTCTGAGTTTTACTCGGAGTAGACCTGTTGAAATTAATGGCCCTAACCTAGTTATTTTCATCAATTTCAATTGGAGAAAGATAACATAGCACAAAGGATATTGCTCCATCAGTACAAACATTTCTGTTTGCCTGATGGAATGATCTCCCTTCTCTCCCCCACCCAGGACTCTGTTCTGGGGGTTCTCCTGATGCTCCCCTGCTCCAAGCCAATCCACCGATGCAGGAAAGCCCCAGTGCACTTGCATGAGATTTCACTACCAAGACCAGTTAGTTGAATCCTGCTCAATGGGTCTATTATGCAAAAAAACTTATTTGAAAGCTACATCTTGAAAATTTCTCCTCCCTTTGATGATTGCTGCATGCAATTTGCTTGATTCATTGGCAATGTTTGAAAAAATGCAGGAGAATTTTTTGCAGAGCATGCACACACACACACACACACACATGCACAGACTATATTCAGCAGTGATGAGGGCTAGAGAAAACTGTGCAAAACAAACTAAAAAGAAAAATGCAAACCATAGCAGAGTTTAACAGTGTGGCAAAGTCAGAAACTTTACCAGAGAGAAAGAAAGCTGATATTTTAGACTAATTCATGGTGTATTGAGAGAGAATCTGGAATTACATTCTATTACATGTACCCACATTTTTAATACTGTTCTTAAGTGACCAGCCATGAACTTTGTAAAGATGTGATATATAAATGTTTTAAATAAATCTATATGGCGGTAGTACAGAGCCAGTATTTCTTGCTTGCTTGCTTGCTTGCTTGCTTGCTTGCTTGCTTATAAGACAATTCTTCCAAATCTCCATTCTGGCTTAACCTCTGCAGCATGCCTGCAGGATCAGAGCGATCAAGATCTGTACTTTCCTCAGATCCACACATCCTGAACTTCATGAATGTTCACATCATGAAAGATGCTAATGTGAATATTTCCACAGAGGATATGTTTTGGTTCGTGATTGTAAGAATTTTCAAATCTGCTCATCATTGTTTCTGATTTGATAGCTCTTCTTCATGGGTAAATTCCAAGACCTAAAAATAAACAAATAAACTCTAATATCATTTCCCTCTACTAAATGCAGAGTAATTTAGGAATGGCACAAGTCCACACTTTCCTAAGTCACAGTTGTATTCTTTTGTTTCTATTTTTGTATTCCTGAAAATAAAAAAGATGCAAAAAATAACATGACATGCCAGAGATACAAATAACACGTGCAGTTAATACTATATAACAATGATGCTTTTATATATTGTTTAACCCAAATGCTCTTTCAAGGCTTCTTTTAAAAATACATTATTTAAGGCCCACCATAACAAATTGGTAGAATGTCTACATACAGTCCATGACCTTTGCATGCACACATGACTAAGCAGTACTGTGCCTTTGAAAGAAAACAAGTGCATAGCTGGATAAAGAGTTCTTGGGGACTCTGACCTGCTTAATATTTATGCTGAAACTCTGGCACACTTCATCATAATCTTGCTGACAGTTCAGTGCTTTCCAAGAGACACTGTACAGGCAGATACTTTTCTAAATCCTCAGTGTACCTAACGAAGACTGAGATTTCTGCCTTGAAGTACAATAACAGCAAGGACATGCTACTGAGAGTTACTGCTACCCAGAGGTAGCAAATCAAGGTTAATCACACATAAAGAGTTAGCAAGTGTGCACTGACTTGTCCCCTAGAGCATAAAATGTGTCTTCACTGAGGGCTTCATTGAATCACCTAAAATACCCAAGGTTGTATCAGAGGTTGAAGAATCAACAATCCTTGTTTATGGGGACAGAGAATCTCAGGGTGCCTTAGTGCTACCACCTTGACAGTCGCTTCATGCCTTTGTCTATTTAGCTGTACTTCTTTCTATGCTATGTACACATTTCTTCATGGCTCATACCAGGAGTGCCAGCTTGGTCCCATAACTATGGGTGCCTGGAGCCAGGGGTGTCATGCAGTGTGCATGGCCCTGGCACCAAAACTTGTGGGTGCCTGCCCCCTTCATGGGGAATTTTTGTGGGTGCTCAGGCACCCAGTGTTCCAAGGAGCGGGCACCCATGGCTCAAATAAAGATTCTGCTTTGTTTAACAAAGACTGTAGTCCTATGCACTTACTTTGGAGTAGGCTCACTAAATGTAGACAAACTTATGTCTGTGTAAATATCTATAGAATTGCACTGATGGTTATGTATTCCAAGAAATGAAGCAAGAACTTAAATTAAGTGAGAACTTTTTGCAGGCCCCTTTAAATTCTGAGATAGGAGTGAAGTAAGATGAGGGCTGGTTATCTCCAGATATGTCAAGGACTGAAATATTTACACTGTGGTGCAGAGATCTGGTGGGGAACATTAGGCATACTCAAGTGAAGTAGGCCTTTTAATATGGATCACGTGGGTCCAAGTTTATTTACCTCCTTGATTAGGGATGGGCAAGTCTGCTAATTTTGGTTTCTCTCAGTTTCTCATTTTACCCCAGTCATAAGTTCTTCACATTTCCACACCAACTCGTAATATCTTCTTTTTATTTTATTTTAATCATGAAATATTATCAGCATTTTAGTGTGAATTTCTCCTTTACATACAGTTTTGACTGAAATTTTGCTCAATATACACATTTTTGCAAAGCTAATTTCCCCAATTTAATGTATTTTTGTACACATTGCTTGGCTGGAGAACAGATGTACAAAAATTCAGAGACGTGTGAACATTGAGGGATGACTGTGGGCTCCTCCATGCTTCTTAGAAAGCACTGGTCTGAGTGGTTTTCTGCTTGTCCCATAGTTTCTTGTCATGTGTCCAAGCAGTTTTACATCCCTCCCCAAACTTTCTCTGGGAAAACCCACTCTTTACTGCTGAATCAGAACAATTGCCAATCCACAGAAAACCCAACTGACATTTACTCCAATTCAGCCCTAAAGAGTGGGTTTTCCCAGGGGAGGGGCTCAGGACAAGCAGAAGTGTGAATGAATGTTTTGGCTTGTGCATTGCTTCAGAAAGTTTGAATTAGATAAGTTTGCCTTTAAATTCAAACTGAATCAAATTTACCCCCTAACCTACCACTGAGAGAGCCTTTTTTTCCCTAATGAAGCAGCAAATGTGAGAGAAACCTTCTTGTTCTTCTTGTATCTCTACCATTGGTTCTAATCCAGAACTAGGTACTGTATTTTCCGCTCTATAAGACGCACCAGACCACAAGACACACCTAGTTTTTGGAGGAGGAAAACAAGAAAAAAAATATTCTGAATCTCAGAAGCCAGAACAGCAAGAAGGATCGCTGAGCAGTGAAAGCAGCAATCCCTCTTGCTGTTCTGGCTTCTGGGATAGCTGCACAGCCTGCATTAGCTCCATAAGATGCACACACATTTCCCCTTACTTTTTAGGAGGGAAAAAGTGAGTCTTATAGAGCAAAAAATATGGTATCTGCACTCTAGAATCATGGCTCATGCTCAGAATTAGTAACATGGCTTAGCTACTCCTCAAAAAATTTCACTAGCATTCTGTGTTCCTAGCGAGGTTTGTAGAAGCATGGCAAAAGAATGGATTTTCCTACTCTTTCTATGTAAGCTGAAGGGTGAAAGGAGTTTCATACTGTGTGATCTTTATTGGGAGAATGGAACCTGAGTATATTGGTGATTAGGGTTCATTAATGTGTAATTAATAATGACTTAAAATACATGAAGTTTTGCCTAAGGTATGGTAAAGAACTGTATGTCACCTCCAGGTTATAATTTGCTCTAGGATATAATTTGCTGTGAGTTGCAGAAAAGTATTTATGCGCTGAAAGTAAAGAGCAGTTTACATGAATTTTAAAACATAATTTCTTTATTCTTTTAACATTTCACATGAGCCTCCATGGAATAATACCAGGGATGCAAACTTAAGGCAGCACAGTGACTCAGTGAAGCTCAGTTGACTGGAAAGACGTGTTGTTTGTTGAGTCACATCAACGTAGGTCGTGACTGTGCAACAAATGGAAAGTGTACACAACAGGTTGCGTGACAAAGAATAGGTCTGATTGCTCCATCAGTTGTCAGAATAAGAGGAGTTTGCCATTGTTGCTACTGAATAAACCATCTGCTTAAAACAGATCTGGCCATGAGGCGGGACATTTCTATGGCAGCAGCTCCATCTGGACAGGTGAGCCGGTGTGTTAATGTCACATAACTATTTACTTCATTGTAATCCCAGGGAAGAAATATATATGCAAAATAAGAGAATAATTTTAAAAACAAATGTATTAGGACACAACCCTAGGGTGTCCCAGGGGTTATAAGAGGGAGTGGGTTCCCCCTCTGCCTATGGAGAGGAAGATCTGCCCTTACAAACCTCCCTATTGAAGGGGCAGAGACCTCTTCTGCCTCTGCTGCCTCCAATGGTGGTAACAGCAAACAGTGAGCAGATCAGATCTTTCCCCAAACTTGACCCTGAAATTGGGGGAAATCATATCAGCTGTGAAGCTGGCATACACCAGCTCCTTCCCCTTCCTCTTTGGTTGGTGTCAGCCTGGCAAAACTTTGGAATTCTCCCATCTCCACTTGTCAGGGTGGTTCCACGCAATCTGGTCTTTCTCATGGTTGTAGATGTGCCGCCAGAGTACCAAGTGCATTCAGTGACAAATATCAGCATGGTCCATCATGCACCTTAACTCTTTTGCAGAGGAGGAATAATCATATAACTGGACAAACTAGATGTGAAGTTAATTGAATGAGTGCAATGGATGTGTATACCATTTGTTGTGTAAATCACCTCCACTGATGTGAATAGGAGCTTCCTTTCAGATTGCAAATTGCAGCTTTGGAGAAGCAGTGCTTGTTGGGACCAAGGAGAGAGATACCCCTCCACTTTCCCTGCAATCTCTAGCTTGCTCAGGCTTCCCAGTGGCTGCTATTTTCATAACTAAAAACATAACTGGGCAATAAAACCCAACCTTGTCCTAGCAGGAAAAAGGGTAAGGTGCAAATGTGATGAATCAAACAGTTTAGGAGACTGGGGTGCTATTTCAAGGTCTATATTCTATATTTTATGTTGCCTTATGAATTCCACATATTAACTCCTTTCCCCCAAGTTTGGTCATAACCTTGGACCTGCCATTGTGGTGCTATACTACATCAGGAATATGTTTGAAGTAGCCAGACATAGTAATTTTGGAAAGTACCCTGTCCAAAAACTGCACAGGCATCATTACCTACCTGAATATAAGGTAAAGTTAAAGGGACCCCTGACCATTAGGTCCAGTCGTGGCCGAATCTGGGGTTGCGGCACTCATCTCGCTTTATTGGCCGAGGGAGCCGGCGTACAGCTTCCGGGTCATGTGGCCAGCATGACTAAGCTGCTTCTGGTGAACCAGAGCAGTGCACAGAAACGCCGTTTACCTTCCCGCCGGAACGGTACCTGTTTATCTACTTGCACTTTGGCGTGCTTTCAAACTGCTAGGTTGGCAGGAGCTGGGACTGAGCAATGGGAGCTCACCCCGTTGCAGGGATTCGAACCACTGACCTTCTGATCGGCAAGTCCTAGGCTCTGTGGTTTAACCCACAGCGCCACCTGCGATCTGAATATAATGATGTGCTAAACCAATGGCAGCTACCCTGAACCATGTGCTGAGGTCACACAACTGGTTGATTAAGCTTCTTCTTTGTTTAAAGCCATCCAAAGCTGAAGATAGCTATAAAGAAGAAGAAAAGTAAAAAATTCCAACCAGACACTGGCACACATTTTTACCAGGTCCTGCAGAGTTCGTCCCCAGTTTGGGCTGGAAGCATAGCTTCCTGTGAAAACACTGTCAGGTGCAGCCTATGTGGTGCCAACCAGATATTATGGTACTACAGTTTCCATAATCCCTGATGGTTGGCCATCTTGAGTGAGGCTGATGGGAGATGGCCATGTTAGCTAACCCTGTGCTAGCTTTTCTTGTAGGCCCAGGCCTATCTGTTTTCTGATGTGTTTGGGCTCTTTTCCAGAAATAGAGGGATTTTCTGCTGCAGGGAGGGGCAGCTGTATGTCTCCCCTGTCCTGCTTCTGATGCCCTGGTGTATTCAAGATAAGGAGCTAACATAGCTCCTTATCCTAAATCTCTCTGATTCTGTGAAATGACACCCACCCCCATCCCTTCACTGAATCAAAACCTTCAGCCATGGGATGCGCATATGGGATGCACATAATGACTGAAGATTTCTGAGCCCATGAAAGTTAAGGAAAATCCTCCTCTTCACTGCTTCAAAAGGACCTTGGGATGCAAGGTTTAGTGCAGCTCTCTGAAGGAAGATAAAATTTGAAGAAGGAAAAAAGCATAGCTTCTTTGTTGTCTTGGGGGGCCCTCAGGCAGAGTTCCTTAATACCTTTATAGGTAGATCCTGAGCATGCTGGCTTGAAGTCCTCAGTTGAGTCAATGTGACTTGCTTCCTATTATGGTTGCTTAAGACTGCAGTGCTAATGTGATTGATTACCGAGTACCTATAAGGTAAAAGAGTCTGTCAGCAAAGACTCACACCTTTCTATTGATCCAGTCAGTTCACTTATCACTGATGTTATTCAGGCCATTTTCGCTTGAGCAATCTTTGTTTCTGTCTCCAGCAATGATAATGATCTTAGAAACAAGTTTCACGCTAGGCCCCGGAGTCTAATGAGTGTTGTGTGTTAGATGACATTGGCTGTGTTGAGGACAATTGTAGAAGAGATCAAATATTAATAAAGACTGCATTTGCCTTAGATAGGCTTAAAAGCAATATCATATTCTTGAGGCATTTCCAGATGACCTGTTTATTGATTGTGCATCCTGATTTGTTTGCAGGGTGGTTAGATGATGTTATGTCCAAACAGGTGTTATCCCCAACTTGCCAGTGCATCTCCCCCATCACTTTCCTTACAACAAAAGCCCAGTCTTTTGGAGAAATGGTTTTGTTGTGCAAGAGCTCAAAATCAGTTTTAATTGTTTGCCCTGAATTTACTCGTATGTGACTGAACCACACTAAAAATAGTGATAATCATTATCCTTATTTGATTTATATTGTTTATATTGGCTCATTGGTTATCAAATCATCAAAAACAAACCAAGAGACCATAAGAGCAGCTTTCCTGTATTTCCTCTTATTCTTGACAAGTAATTGTCTTACTGGGGTGGTAACTACAAACACTCATGCTTTAGGGTACAATGGAACTGGAGTCCTAAAAGTCCTGTTAAAATAGGAAGCTGCCTTATACCAGGTCAGACCATTCATTTAGCCAGCCAGCTTCAACTTGGAGGGGAAGAGTTAACATTTTGGATTATATCTTTTGATCTAGAGTGCATAGGAACTCCCTTTAAAAAAAAGGAAGCTAAGAGTCTGGGATCTCTGCTTGCCTCGGGAACCGGAAAATCCCACCCTTTCTACCTGTCTATCAGTGGTTCTTTGTGCATTTGCATAAGAGAAAATGAATCTACACTTTCTGTTCCAAGTGGCTGTTCCATAAATCTAGTTTCTGAACAGGGTCTTATATTGACAATGATTTTAACTTTCTGTCCTCGGTACTAGTAATACTAGATACTAGTAATCCCTCTTGAGAGAGAGCAGGGCAGAAGCAAATGGAACAAGGACAGAATGTATAGCATAGTAGCACCAATAACTAGGCATTCATTGCCTTTCCATTTTAGACTTCTGTGTTTAATTTTCGACACCAGCTTAAAACTTCTTGTTCCAATTATTTACACAAGCTTACCATGCCATGTGACCTATTTTCTTCTGACCTCTGCCCTTTTATGTTTTTGCCTTTGCTTTTGCTTTGTGAAGTTGATTTTATTACATACACCACTTGGAGAGTACCCCAGTCCCTCTTGAGTTAGTGGTATAGAGATTTAAGCATAAATAAATAATGTGGGAAAATATTCCAAGCAAACAAGCCAAATTATTCAGACATCCATTTAGCATCAGCAGGAAACTGTCATGCTTTGGAATAGAAAGTGACTATTCCAAGTCAACTGCTGTCAGCAAAAGACATCCCATATGCAACCAGTACTAAATCCTTAATGTGTCAATGTCATTCCATGGGGAGGGCAGGATACCAACTTCTAATCCTGAGCTCATCTAGAGATTTGACAATATCAATAAGTAGTCGTTTGAAGGTCACTGTTCAATAAAACAAATATTCCCCCTATTGGTTTCGTGAAGGCAGACTTCCTCTTCAGTGAAACCTTCTCCTCCACTTTCGTACTGACTGGACCCTTGCAGTGTATTTGTTGTTTGTAATTGGGTCTGGCCAGAGCTGTGTCTCATCCTGTCCATTTGCTTTCCATTTGCTTTCTTTCTAAACTGCCCAAGAGAGTCACCCCTCTCTGAGTTCAAGGAAAGAACAATTGCAGCTCGGATAGAAAGGTGAAGGTGAAAGGTCCTTTAAATGTACCCTATTTGCTCTACAGAGGAATGGAACAAATGTAGAAGAGGGAAGGTCTGTAGTTCAATGATTCAGCATCTGTTTTACACGGGAAAAGATACCAGGTTTTTTTCCACTATGCAAGCAAGTTTGGGATCTTCTAATTGGCAAAGTGCACTGCAAAAAGCAAACAGTGAATTCCTGCCAAAAGTTCTGTCACTTGCATGAGATGTCACATAGACCGCATAATCTGTCTCTCTCTGAATGCTCTTCAAAAGTGGTCACCAATATAGCGCCCATGGTTGCCAATGTGCCCACTTATACCTGCTATGGTGCTCATGAAAGGTCTCAGTAAATCTTCCTGTAATCCACAGTATATGATAAAGTGCTCTTCATGCTAGTTTCTATTTGCACTGGCTCAGGCTCTACCACATGCATGAATGACAGCCATTTTGTATTATGCCACACCCACAGCAGCCATTTTGTGACTGGCAACCATGGCATTTTATCAAAATTCCAAATGTGGCTACTGGTCCAAAATGGCTGCTGGCCCTTGCTCGACACCAAAAGAGTCATTTCCAAGGTCACAGAGTTCTCTTAGCAACACATAAATAAGACACTTAGCAACACATAAATAAAACTACAGAAAGGTCTCCTTTCAATTTTATTGTACTATGTCTGCATGGACATGGGGAAAAATCTGTAGTAGCATTTATGTAGCATGCACAGCTCATTCACGGGGCAGCACTTCCCTTTAATTGTTATAACATCTAAAAAATTCATCAGCCTAGGGGTGGTGAGGATATGGCAAAATGGAAGAAGACAAGACACAGTGAAGTTGGAATGCCTTGGCTTATATAATAATCACCTGGCAGCAGTACAATGCTGACTCCTAAACAAAGTGCAACAAGGCTATACAGTCAATCCATTAGATTATGGCTCTTTTTTACCGTCAGTCTTTCAACAGTACATGATTTGAAACTGTTGACACCTGAGCTGAGGAAGAACCTTAATTCTGTAGCCAAGAAACCTGCCACAATTTGATCACAAAAGCAAGGTCAAAATGCACTATTAGAATGCTGAAATTTGATCACATCTGGGACTTCATTCCCTGCTTTTGTGTCCATGTTCTTAAACCAACTGAGAGTTTAGCTTTCAGAGGAAGAGGAGAGGGAAAATGCACATTTGATCTGGAAGCATCTCAGGGATGTAGAATGGCCTGGAATAATTTTTTTCTCTTGTTAATTATGCTGTTTTAAATGTTCATTTTATATTTGACATCCCTTAGTAATGTTTTCTTTTGAAATGTTCAAGATAATTTATTTGTTAACTTTGATGCGCTAAATATACATTCTGTAGTTGATCTCCTTTGTAATGCTATATTTTGAAACCTTTAAGGTAATATTTTTGTTTCCTATTAATTATGTTGCTTTGAATTAGATTTCACTTTCTTCTGGAATGTTTTATCCTGGATTGTTTCATTTGAGGTTTTAATACTGAGATATTTTCTTAAACATATAAAGTGGCAAAGAAATAAAATGAATTTTTAAGTAAGTAAGTAAGTAAGTAAGTAAGTAGGTAAGTAAGTAATGGAAACACAGGAATAACTAGGGACAAATGTGCCATTTTAAAAATGTGCTTGCCATTTGCCTAGCACCAGACAGGGCTCACAAAGTAAAAACATGTAACTCACAAAGAAAGTGCTAGTCTGGATTTGGAGGAATGAAATTGTTTACATCAGGTGTAATCTTAAGCATTTTTACACAAAGTCTCTCCAATATCAATGAAACTTTAGTCTCCTAAGTGTGTTCAGGATTATGGCCACAACAACTCATAACTGAGTGCCTGCAGGCAGTGCTGCCTAGCATCCACTAGGAAGGTGGGAGGCGTAGAGGCCAACAGCAGGCTGAGCCAGAGTTAACTAATTCTAATTTTGTCTCCATCCTCCTGCTGAGTTTGCTACAAAGGGCAACACTGGGACCATGGAGGAGGAAAGTGAGAGGCAGTGCCACCTTTTACTGGTTGTAAATAAGAAGCCAGGTAGGTGGCTGGCTGGCTGAGGGCAGATTAAGGTTGGTGGGGTTGTGCCCCATTTGGCCTAAAAAAAGGAGCCCTCACTGCCTGCTTCTCACCCTCCCCAAGGTATTTGAATATGATACGGCTTAAATTACTCTCCACCCGGTGGCATCTAAATGCGATTCTGCATGAACTTGCTCCACTCTGTTCTGTAAGCATTAGAGTTAAAATCTTAACATTGCTAAGTTTTTGTGGATCAATTTTCCCATAAGGTCTCATATCTGAGGATGCTTCAGAAGGTATAGCAAAGAAGAAATTATGCCCCTCTGCATAGTAATAGATCTTGGGACCACGTCCTGTACCCTGTTGTGTTAGCAAGCTATCTCTTGCGAAATCGGGAACCAGTTCAGGTAGAGGAGAAAACTCTTGTGCATGTGGTGCTGTGGAACAGAGAGGAGCATGGGCTGTGTGTTGCCATAGCAATGATGTTCCTTAGGAATGGGAAGCAAGCTGTTTTTCAAAAGCCATGATAAGATGTGAACCCCCTGAGCAAACAGAAGGAGAAGAAAGGCTGCTGCTTCGTACTTCACAATTTGGGAAACATATTGCTCTTTTTAAATTATTTCCCAGTCCTACCTGGAGATAACTAGGGATTGTACCTGGGACTATTTGCATGCCTAACACATACTCTGCCATTCAGCTGTGATCTTTCCAACTTTCTTATTACTGGAAAATATATGGAATATAATCTCCTAGAATCATAGGGACCCTGAGGATCATCCAGTCCTACCCCCTGCAATGCAGGAATAGGCAGCTGGATGGAACCTACAACCTTGGCATTATCAGCACCACACTCTAACCAACTGAGCTATCCAGTCAGTATAAGAGAAAATTGCATAAATATTTACTGTGTGTGTGTGTGTGTGTGCGCGCACACACACACACACACGAAATATTGTCATAATCAATGCCTGCTTTATTTATGTAGCAAGACCCATCAAAGTGTATTGCTTAAACATCTTAAATATATCGCTGCTGTGAATATTCTGATAAGTTTCCAGATAGCAGGCGCCACATTTTGCTTTAGCTTGCTCTCCCAGCATGTGATGAGTTAAGCTCTAGTCACATTCAGGACTTGCCCTGATGGAACAATTGTCTTAGAGTGATGTTGAATTCCTTGCTATATTTTTACTTCAATCCGTTCTTCCTAATGCACATAAAGTTGTAAGGTCCTTTACTTGGTACTGACTCCATGGAGTAAGATGAAAGCAAGGGCCATGGCAACATTCTTGCTATATCCATGTGTAACCAAAGCTCCAGAGTTAAAATGGATGTCATACATTTCAGGTGAGAGAGAGCTAGAAACACATGGATGCATATTTCAGATTCAACTATCTGAAAGCTGTTTATCTATAAGCACTGCCAAGTTGAACCTCATTTCAACACATATCCATCGAGATAAATCTCTCTCTCTCTCTCTCTCTCTCTCTCTCTCTCTCTCTCTCTTAAAAAACACAGCAACCTGGAGAAGATCCTGAAAAATCTGTGATAATCTTGCAGCTTTCATTCTGAAATATTCTCCCTGTATAGATGGTGAGCGGCTGCCTTAATATCAAAATATGAACTGTCGGGAGTAAAAATGTAAGAATATTAGAATGCAGGAGCACATTATAATCTCCAGAAGCTCTAAAGGAAATGATAAGAAGTGGAGCATGAATATGTAGAAGAATTTACAGAAGGTGTAATCTTTTTTTTATCATCATCATGTGTATTTAATCTCAATGTGCCACATCACTTCAACTTTAATCTGATGTCCACAGGTAGAGTAAATGTTCTGAGTGAAAGTGTTTGGAAATGAAAAGATGATCAGGACTGAATTTTTATGGGGCATTTGATGCATTTCAATGCATGGTTTTCGTCTTGTGTTTCAATCATTGGTTCCGAAAGCTGGTTTTTCTGGTCTCTTTATCCCGTAGGTGGCACTGTTGTGCCATAGCATGCTTCAGACTTCTAATGAGCTCAGGAATGATCAAGGGAATGGGAAGGGAAAAACACATACACAGAGAGAGTGAAGCTAGCAAAAGGGGGGAAAGGAAATGGGGGTGGTGGTGGTGGTGGAAGAGAAGACTTTTTCATTTTAAAACTTGCTTATCTGAAGATTTCTTCATAACTTTTTAACTCTTGGAATTCACTGCTTCTGAAATGGAAAAGAAAAAAGCTGATGACTATTGCTGCATGACTAGGCTTGGTCTATATTCACATCAGGCCATGTCAGAAGTGAGAGAATCCTTTCCTCCAACTCTTAACAGCCTCGCATCACTAAGGGGGGTACAAATGGGATTCTCTGTCCCTGTTCCAGAACAGGGGTCATAGTTAGTCCACATGCTTTGCACTCAGAATGCCCTTGGTGCCTCCCTGGACATATCCAGGTAAAATGATAATATATACTAGGGCTGGGAAGGCCACTGTCTGAGCTTGTTGCCCTTTCAAGTATAGGCAAGATGGCCTGACCCAAAATAAGGCAGCTTGATATGCCCATATGCTCCACCAGTCTCATTGCTCATCTCCTTCCTTGGCTTTTGGAGTCAGCAGGACAATTCTGTGCCCTACCACAGGTGGATGGTCAGGGGAAGAATAAGGTATCTGAGGAGAAGGGCTATCAGTGGCTACAAGTGAATTGGAGGCAATAAGGCTTCTGAAAACCAATTGTTGGAAGCCACAGGAGGGGAGAGTGCTCATGTGTTCATGTTCTGCTCACTGGTTTTCCTTTGTAGGAGGGTTAACAAACTGAAGGACATTGTCTTCTTTCTATGTTCCTCCTGATGGAAACATGCTGATGGGGACTGATAAACCCCCACTTTAAGTCGTTTATATACGGTCTTCTGTTGTATATTACTTACTACAAAGCTCGATGACTAAGCCCTTTGGGGACAAAATGTCTGATTACCAGAGCAACGTTCGAGCACTGAACAACTGATACATCGCAAGTGGACTCTTTATTACTGCGTTCAGATAAAACCTATTTCGGGAAGAAACTACTTTTGCCATTTAATGGGTGTTTATTGTTTGCCTCGGTCCAGTATACCTGAAGGAGCGTCTCCACCCCCATCGTTCTACCCGGACACTGAGGTCTAGTGCCGAGGGCCTTCTGGCAGGTCCCTCACTGCAAGAAGCCAAGTTACAGGGAACCAGGCAGAGGGCCTTCTCAGTAGTGGCACCCGCCCTGTGGAACGCCCTCCCACCAGATGTCAAAGAGAAAAACAACTACCAAACATTTAGAAGACATCCGAAAGCAGCCCTGTTTAGGGAAGCTTTTAATGTTTGATGCACTATTGTATTTGCCAAGGAGTGTGGTGGAGTCTCCTTCTTTGGAGGTTTTTAAGCAGAGGCTTGACAACCATATGTCAGGAGTGCTCTGATGGTGTTTCCTGCTTGGCAGGGGGTTGGACTCGATGGCCCTTGTGGTCTCTTCCAACTCTATGATTCTATGATTCTATGATTTTAATATGTTGTTGGAAGCCGTCCAGAGTGGCTGGGAAAACCCAGCCAGATGGGTGGGGTATTAATAATAATAATAATAATAATAATAATAATAGACAGATAGTTGCCTTGATATTATCTTGCGTCTATTGCAGAAGACATTATATCACCACCCTGTTTATTTTTTTCATTGTAATCCACACTAGAAGCATCCTGGAGGACCGACTCAGAGGGATTTATTTACCACTGGAAGATCTATTATCTTCACTTTTGTAGTGCAAGTTCTTCTGAGATTTCCCCAGCACTGACTCCTATATAAGATGAACAGTGAATTTGCACTAGCATGGATAATTTGGATTATTGAAAACTACCCAGAAAGCTACCCAGATCTCACAGGAAAACAGAGGGGCCAAGAACTTAAAACAGGCATAAGCAAACTCGGCCCTCCAGATGTTTTGGGACTACAACTCCCATCATCCCTGATCACTGGTCCTGTTAGCTAGAGATGATGGGAGTTGTACTCCCAAAACATCTGGAGGGCCAAGTTTGCCCATGCTTGTCTTAAAACATAACATACTAATTTCTAGACTTTCAGCACTATTAGGGGGACAGCTCCCTGGCTTCCCAGTGATAACTAAAGCTCACCATCCCAACTTTTTATGAACAGTTCCTGAGGACATAGGGACTTGGATCATTTGGGGGAAGCAAGGTGACTTGGTTGGACTGAAAAAGGTTTTTTAACATGCAAGAAAACAAAATATATTGAAGTAGAACACAGTTTGCCTGGGGCTGAGACCAGTTACCAAAGAGGTGATTGTACCATTTCAGTCTGCAGGTAGTGGCTTACATAACAAAATGCTCTGTCAAGGGGGGAAAGAATCCAAGCACATGGCCAAACTGGGGTTAGCCACATGATTAATCCCAGCTTGCAGTATTTTTAAAACATTGCAGATGCAGAAGCCATGGTCAATTATTCTGTGAACTACCCTGAGACCTCCAGGTATAGGGCACTATATAGATACAATAAATAAAACAATAATAATAATACCTTGGGAGAGCTGTAAGGGGGCTTAAATCCTTTGCTCTCTGCAGCATGTGTAGTCCAGATCATCCCCTCTCCATGCTTTGGGGAAAAGCTCTCTCTAGAGCAAATGGGAATTTCTTCGTATATATTGCAGATTGCAAACTGTAGATTGTAGATTGGGAATCAATGGGGAGTTTACTGCCTCAGTGATAACTAAGCTCAATAGGGAAATTTCACTGAAAATACCCAACTATACCCAAAGTTGGGGTTCACAATTCAGTAGTGTGGATTTGATTTTTACATATGAGGTCCTAAATCAACCTTCCCCAACGTGGTGTCCTGCAGGTGGTTTAGATTACAGCCCCATTCAGTTCCAGCCAGCATTGTGAATGGCCAGGAATGATGGAAGATGTAGTCCAACAATATCTGGAGAGTCAGAGGTTAGTCACCCCTCGTTTAGACCATGTAATGTACAGAAATCAGTAAGCAAGGCTAGAGAAAATTGTATGTATAATAATACAGAGCCATTGCTCATTAAAGTTAGTGGTCCTGGTTGAGGTGGACTGCAGTTTTGGGCTCAGTATGAGTCAGTTTTTCATATCCTTATAATGGTAAACTCCAGTGCACAATTCTTTCCAGAATCCCTTGATAACATTTAAGTATCTTTTTTGTCTTTGAGTTTCTCAGTTAGTAATGAAATTCCAAGACTGTGCTTGATTCTCCATGGGATTTGAAAATCTGCCGTGCATGGATAATTAGTCTTCCTCAATTGCTTCTAGAAAGAAGTGCTATTTATTTAAATTAGTGCACACCACAAGGTTTGCACTGGCAGGTCTCACAAAATATACCTAAGGTGGCCAAATTTGGGTGATACAGTTAAGCCAGCATATCTAGTTTTGATTAGTAAGGCTAGAAAATGATGATCAAAAAAGTGCTTTGATGTACTACTGTTACTGACTCTCTTCCAAGCAAAATAGTTTCTCAGTATCAGAAGAGGAAGCATATTGTTGAGCAGTCATTTCATAAACAATTCAACAATTGTTTGATCTCACCTCACAGATCTCCACTGTGAATGATGTCCCTATAGTGTAAATATAAGCAAATAACTGAAAAATGAAAGATATGAAGGAAAGGCTTGCAAAAATATCAGTATATCCTTGGAGACTGCTAATCTGATCCACAAACAGTAAGCCATTCATTTATTCCTTCATTTTATCATCTGCCCAGTAACAAGAGCTCTTTGTGTAATGTATGATGTAAAAAAACAAAGTTAAAATCACAATTGCAATAATAAAAAATTAAGAATAAGCAAAACTACTGTAATCTAAGTACAGTGGTACCTTGGGTTAAGAACTTAATTCATTCTGGAGGTCTGTTCTTAACCTGAAACTGTTCTTAACCTGAGGTACCACTTTAGCTAATGGGGCCTCCCGCTGCGGCTGCTCGATTTCTGTTCTCATCCTGAAGCAAAGTTCTTAACCCGAGGTACTATTTCTGGGTTAGCGGAGTCTGTAACCCAAAGAGTCTGTAAACTGAAGCGTATGTAACCCGAGGTACCACTATACACCTAATGTAACTCTTTGGAGCCCAGCCAAAGTTAGGATGGTGTGCCTGTGTTAAGGACTGGTCACATTCAGATATAAACTCAAAAATCACACACACATATATAGATATAAAAAACTGGATACCTTATATTCCCAGAATAAACTGGAAGGTTTGTCACCACTGGAGAGTTGACAGTGTTGGACAATCAAGCATGAGATGCTTGTCCAAGGTAGTGCACAGAACATCATTGCATCCCCACTACATAACACAGTCCTCCGCTCAGAGGTAAAAATTTAACTATTTGTGGACAACTACCAATCATTACAGCCCCAGGGTTAACCTTTAGCATTCAGTCCAGAGTTAGCCACCCCAGATGAAAAATGCAGATCACTAGTTGTTGGCACTGCATAGTTACTTCATGGAGAAGAATATGCCATGAGCAAGCCTTGAAAGGAAATGCATTAAAACCAAACAGTATGTTAATTCAAGGTGAACTGTCCAGAAATTTTATGAGACCTGTCAACGTCATATATCACATTTGATGTGAAAATGTAGTAGGATATAGAAAAACATTTCTGTCTGTTCTTATGGTGACATACATCCCCTGACAACCCATGTCTGCTCTTCCCTGCTTCTCCCACTCAGAAGCCACTAATAGGCTGTGTTGCTGCTACTGGAACCAAGAGGTTTCAAGTAGCAGAAAGGTTTAGAACATTCTGTTATCAACAAATGACAGTGTGATCTTTTCTTTATGAAGAGTTTCACTATTAAGGCACTCATTTTTGATTCCTTCCTTTCCCAAAGTGAAGAAAAATTATAGCTCTTTAGACCAGTTTTAATAATACCCAAGCTCTTGGGAATTATCCTTCTGTACTTTAATGATGACATTATTATTATTATTATTATTATTATTATTATTAGCAGCATCAGCATCAATATTATCCTTATCATCATCAAAATTTCTATACCGCCCTTCATCCAAGGTTCACAGGGTGGTTTACAACATAAAAACACAAATACATAACACAGCATCAAACAAAAACAAGACCCCACCCTGGGAATAGCATTCCACAAACAGGGAGCCATCACATAAAAGGCCCCTTCTCATGTTGCCACCCTCCAGACCTTTCATGGAAAAGGCACACAAAGAAGGCCTTCTGATGATTACCACAGGGTCTGTGTCAGTTTGTATGAGGAGAAGTATTGTCCTTGGGTTATTGTCCTTGCGGTCCTTGATGTATTGCAGTCCTAAGCTGTTCAAGGCTTTATAGGTCAACATCAGCAGGTTGAATTGGACCAGGAAACTAACTGGCAGCCAGTGCAGTTGGGCCAGGATTGGTGTTATATGATCAAACTGTCTTGCCTCGGTAAGCAACCTGGCTGCTGAATTTTGCACAAGCTGGAGTTTCTGAGCTATCTTAAGAGGCAGCCCCACATATCATGAATTACAGTAATCTAATCTAGAGATCACCAGAGCATAGATGACAGAGGCTGTCCCAGTCCAGATAGGGGTGCAGCTGAGCCACCAGTCAAAGCTGATAGAAATCATTCTGCACCAACGGGGCCACCTAAGTCTCAAGTGACAACAGTGGACCCAGAAGTATCACTGAGCTACGTATCCACTGCTTCTTAGTGAGTATAAGAGCATCAAAAGCAGGCAACATAGAACTTAGAACTTAGAAGTTAAATAACCCACAGAAATACTGGGGTTATAGGCTGCAGGGTGCAACATATAAGAGTCCTGTCTCATGAAGAATGGAAAGGCTCACATAGTATCCAATATTCTACACAGGAATGGCAACCTATGGCCTTCCAGGTGTTGTTGAACTCCAACTCCCATAATTCCTAGTCATTGGCAACAGTGGCTGGAGTTGATGGGAGCTGGAGTTCAACAACATTTGCAGGTTTGCAGCTTCCCTGTCCCTGCTCTAAAGGGAGGATGAGGCAACCACATCCTCTCATGTTTGCAAACCTATCTTTCTTGTACATTTCTCTGTATACTTTAGGAGATTATCAATGCAACACTACAGTGATGTCAGTGGACACAGTATCTAAGCTGCATGTTTGCAGCTACTGTAGTAGCAAGGAAACAATATAATACAGTGACACATGAGAATCTAGATGGTTTATTTATTATGCTTTATTAAACCATAGCCTACTTCCAAAGCTATGCCCATTCTATTTTTGTCTACCTAGTAATCTGAAATCTCATAAGGACTTAAAACTGTGGAATGCCCTCCCATCAGTTGTCAAGGAGATAAAGAAGAAAAGATAAAGAACCACACAACTTTTAGAAGACATCTGAAGGCAGCTGTGTATTGGGAAGTTTTTAATGGTTGATGTTTTACTGTGTTTTATATGTGCTGTAAGCCACTCAGAATGGTTGGGGAAACCCAGCCAGATGGGCAGGGTATAAGTAATAAAATTATTATTATTATAATAATAAATAAAAATGGCATGGTTCAAGCCAAGCTGGATTCTACTAAATGCACTCCCTGCTACTGATGTACCTCTGGCATGATGTACTTGTACCTTGCCTAATCTTGTTCTTTGCTGATGGGTTTGTGTTTGTGATCCTGGATCAGCTCTGGGGTTTGGAACAGATGACCCTTGAATGTGTTTCAGCCTTATGATTATTTTTTTTTGTATCATTCATTGTTGACTGCTGTCAGAAACTCAGTTCCGTTCTTATCTGATATGGCAGGTCTAGGCTTTATCAGATATGGCACTTTGTATGCCACAGTTGAATGTTTTAGTGACTACACTGTTCTCCTGACAGATTGCCAAAAGGAATAAAGCATTTCCAACCAAAAGCTTTCAATCTGACAGATGTGAATGATACAGGACTGATCATCATTGTGTAGAAATGAATTTTTGTCTCACCGTTGCTCACAGGGGAATCTGCATAATGAAAGTCCAAGTCACAATCTCTGGTTAAAAATAATGTTGGTCTGATGAAAGAACTGGTGAAGTAGAATTTGTCTCCAATGGTTCAAGAAAGGTTATGCAGAACCAGGGTTTGAGAAGAGCTTGGCAGCAAGTGAAGAAAAAAAAACAGATTGATGGCATTGCTGTGCAGTGTGGAAATGCAGGAACTAGAGAAAGGGACAAAGGGCGCTAAAAATACTAGATTAGTTTTCACAAAGTGAGAAAGAAGCTGGAGGGGATAAGAAGATGAAAAAGTGAAACAGTGAATGGACAGGTGGCCAACAATGTAAGGATAATAACTTGCAGAAAACAAAGAAATACACAGGCAATTAATCTTGGATCTCGTGTTACCTGAACAAGATGGCTGCTGATTTTATCTCAATATAGATGGGAGCCAAACCACATGGAAATAAATTGATATGATGCAGCCCCTATGAGGGGTGGGTTGCTAACCATGTTTAAAGATCCACTTATAAGTGGGTGTTTACCCATGATAAGCAACCTCCCCCTTCCATCTCAGCTACTAATTACCATTGTTCGTCTGAGCTTTCACTGAGAAAACTAAGAAAATCTCAGCGAACCTAGAAAATAATAGTTTGAGAGGGAGAGGAAGATTCTCTAACAGAAAATGGTCAATGTAAATGAACTTCTTTCCCCAAGATTCAAGGGAATCCAACTCACTTATATTTAAGAATATTCTAAAATAGAACATTTTATTTGTAGTGTTCTAGATATGTCCTAGCGTTTGGCCTCATCTTCACTATACATTTAAAGGAGTATCATACCTCTTTAAACTACCATTGCTTTCAGCAAAGACTCATGGGAACTGTAAATTGTTAAGGGTGCTGAGAATTGTTAGAAGATTCATATTCCCCTTATAGAGCTACAGGTTGCAGAGTTCCCTGGGAAGAGGGGTTGATTGTAAAACCACTGTACAATCACTGTACAAAAAACCTGTAGCTCTCTGAAGGTAATAGGTGTCTCCTAATAACTCTCAGCACCCTGAACACAGTACAGT